ATAATTTCTGTTAGGTATATAACATAGACTTATTAATTGTTAATAGGTCTATAATACCTAAATATGTTTTGAGCGGATAAATTTTTCTTAGAGTAAATCCTTGTGAGATATTTATCCATGATTGCCCTACGTTCATATCGGCGACACTAAATATTATCAATGCGCAGTTCATTTGTTAATAGGACGTCTATGGTAAGACCATTCTTACCCGTGCGTTCCCGAATGAATGAATGTTGAATGATATATAATAAGTTATATGCGAATGAACATCTGCAGCTGCTGTTCGAAATATTTTGTTTGTGGTTTTGTATAAGAAGTTATGTCTTATGTGGAACAAAAACATTATGGAACAAACGTTCTTCGGGACAAAAGTATATTTGTAAAGTACTGGATAATAATTAATAAGTAATAACTGGTTGAAATATTTTATGGCAAACATCTGTCTATAATTAATATAAATAAATATTGCATTGAAATAAATGTAAAATGTGGAAATTAATATCATTGGAATAAGTTGACTTGGAAAAAATTGTGGGACAAAAGGTAATTCGTGGTGAATATGGTACCCGAACAACAACAGAAGTGGCATGAACAGAACGCGCAAAATAATACGTAATCTATGTCCTGTTGGTTGTGGTCACGATTTAAGATATTATACAGACTGTACCTATATCTTAAATCTTGGTTGTGGTTCGTCCCCGGCGAATGGTGATACGCGCAATTTAGTGTTAACTGTTAACTGTAAAGTGTAAACTGTTATAACATCTTAACTTTATTATTCTACAGTCTCTATTATAGACTTCTAGAGTTCCATGACAAAATAAAAATAGCTATCTGTGTGTCTTGGGCGTTGGGCCCGAGTATTCTATTGGCACAATCAAAATTGATTAGTTAGGAAAGATAAATGAATTAATAGGCAATTTACTGTTTTATAATAATTTGAAAAACTGGAAAAACATGGTTCACGTGTCCAAGGGAACATTAATTACATGGTAAGTAAAAATGTAGTAAAAAAGTAGGATACATGGTTTGCAGTGCACATTATCGTTCATTCTAAATAGTCCAAGTCTTCTGGAATTCCAAACTGTTTGTCAATGACGCTATCTTCTAAGAAAAACTTCTTCTTGCACCACGACTTCACTGAAAAAACATTATCCGTCCAACGGTTTCCCGCTTCCTTGGCCACCTACAATTAGGTATTAACGCATGAATACAAAATTAAAAAAATTTACTTAATTATCCTATACAATGTTTTATAACAGTAATCTGACATTGAACATTTATTTTACATACTTCAATTCTTTTCTTCATACGCTCAAACTCTACTGGATTGGAATCTTCATATTTTTTTAGTTCACTTTCTAAACGTGATTTTTCTTCGTTGAGTACCTTGAGTTTGTCCAAGAATGCTTGTCTTTCATCTGTTACCTCTTTTCCTAATTTTTCTTTTTTAATAATTTCTATATTTTTATTAAGCTTTTTTTCATACTCTTCCAATTTTGTTTTAGCATTAGCTAGTACATTTTTCTTAACAATTTTTGCTTTGCTAAAGTAAATATTAACAATATTTGATGTATAAGTAAACCTAACAACAAAATGCTAACAAATCTATAATAATACAAGTAGTTACCTTGGAAAAGACCAAAAATAGACCGATGTTCCTATTTTATCAGTATCAACTAAACCATCATCTACCAAATTTTGAATGACATCTTTTACTGATTGCACTATTATTTGTTTTTCTTTTGGTGCAATTTTTTCTAATTCCTAAATAGTTAAATATTTATGTGTAAAAATAATAATAAAATAGAATACTCATTACTAAAAATAAATAATTGTTCCTGTCTTATACACTGGACTATATTCATCATATAAACAATAACACTAATTGTTTCTTATTGAGTTATCAAAAATCTGTTAAAATTAAAATATATTTAAGTATTACTTTGAGCTGGTAAAAATCTTTTTTTTCATGAAATAAATCCAACATCCTGGTTCGTTTTTCCTCTGCACTGACTTGTTTTCTTTTAGACATTTTTGTTGGGATTCTAGAACACAATGGCATAATATACTTGTTATTAACTTATCATTTTTTTTTATTTTTTTTTTTTTTTTGTAAGTGATCAGTCAATGAAACAGTTTTTATTACAATTGGATCAAACTAATGCCCTTGGGAAAAAATTTATTCTACAAGAATTGGATGAAGAACATTTATTTGTTTCAACTGATGTATTGGACACATTAGAAGATCGTGTTGATGAATTAATGGACCAACTTACTTTCACTCAAAATTAAAACTATTAGTTTTTTAATAATTTTTTCTAATAGTTAAAAATGTCTTCAAAAGTAGGAATGGGTAGGGAATCCGGAAGGTTAAAAGATGCAGATAAAAAAAAGGTCCTTGATACAGCAACCAGAAATCGCAGGGCACGTCGAGCTCTGGAAAGCTTAGAAATGGATAACTATCAACAAGATCCACATGCTGACATTGTTTTGAACAAAAAAGCACCTAAATTTTTAGACACTATTGAGGCTAAAGGAGCGAGACGTAAAAAGGAAAAGAGTGCTGAATATTACAAACAAAAGTAATTATCTAATTATTATTCTAGTTTATGAATTGTAAAAAGTATGATTTTACAAACTTTATTTAATATTTTATTAGATTTCGAAGGACATTTGAACAATTAATCGAAGCTGATCAATTTAACAACCGTGATCCGCCCAACTATAATACAATTGAAGCACCCTCATCAAATTTACCACGCAGAATATTTTGTGCTGTTTGTGGATTTAGGAGTTCATATACGTGTACAACATGTGGTGCACGATATTGTTGTATTCCGTGTTTAGGTACACACCAAGCCACACGATGTCTTAAATGGGCCGTATAAATTTGTGGCATTGTAAATAATATGATTTCTCATAAATGTTTAATTTTTATAATCTCAATTAAACAAATTATGATTATATACATAATAAGTTTTAATTTGTCACAAATGTTAATGTTTTTTAAAAATGTATATAAATACCATTAATTACACATCTGATCTTTAAAAAATAATACTTGTCTTAATTTTTTCCATGATCAAAATGTATGGAATTATTATTGATACAATATTAAGGTTAAAAACTAAATAATTACGTAATTATTATTCTAAAGTAGTAGAACATTTGACGTGGATAATTTTTAATAATTTGTATAATTATATTTTTGACAAGTAATGTCAACATTTTGGTTCATGTATTTTAATATTAAACATTGAGAATTTGAGAATATTTTGGTTGTAGTTAGTGTATAAAATGTTAATTCTGCTTGAATTTGTATTCAAATTGAGTATTATTTATAACTAATTACAATTATATTAACTATTTACCTTAAATAAATTATAATTTGTATTATTGTTTGATGACAATATTACATTATAAATAAAATATTGTATTTAATTTGATTATTTCGTATCTATAATACTACAAGAACACTTWATTTTTAAATATTCAGCTACAAATGGTAATTAAATATTAAAGTAAGTATTTGTTACAAATAATTCATTTTTCAAATTTTTTACTAGAAATGGTTTAGGTAGTATTTCAAAATTAAATACTTTAGTAATTAGGCATGTGAATAATATTTTTAAAATACATAAAAGCTCTTATAATATTTTGATCTAAAACGGCATATTAAAAATAAATACTATACAGCACATGTGAATATTTTATTCAACCATAATCTTTTTTATAAATTTAAAATTTTACAGTACTAGGTAAAATTAATTTAAAACCGTTGTGAATACAAGTAACTTTATTTTTTAAGAGCTTAATAGTCTCTTTAATCAAGTGTTAACAATATCTGAACAAAATAATTCTACAAGAAAAAACCCCTAATTTAGTCATACTTGTTGTATTGATTGGATTAACATTTTAATGCTTTTAAATAATACATTTTCATTAATATCATTAGAAACTTGTTTCTTTAGGTCAGGTTCTTGATGTTTGGTATTGACTTTGTTATTACTACTTGAAGGTGTATCTGAGGTGATCCCTGGTTCAGGGTATGATTTACTGTTAATTTTAGATATTAAATCATCGACCAGGTAAGTAAGACGTCTAATTTCAGCAGTGTGTTGTTCGGTCATTAAGTCCAAATCCCTTATTGAATTAATTAAATCTTCTTGTTCTTGTGAACGCATATCTTCTTTAGCTTGTTCTTTACGTACTTGTCTATTATATTCAAACAATAGTAAAGCAGCGGCGACAAAAAATATAATACCTTCGCCAAGTAAATTTGATCCAAGTTCAATGGCCATAGTCTCACTTAAAGGTTTTACCTTTCCGGAAGTACCAAGGTTCATGAAATACATCTTCATTTTAACTTCACACCAATTATAAAACTGAGCAGGTGGCATGCAAACATATGATCGAAATACTGGAGATTGTTTGGCTCGTTCTTTAACAAAATTAGCAATTGGTTTACTTACTTGGCGCAATAGTAAAGCGCCAAGCTTGGCCGCTGGGAAAGCACCGAGTGCTACCATTGTTGATTAAAACTACTAAATATTTTTAGATTAAACCTCGTTCAGACATAAATACATAATGCGAAAACTAAAAGGTTAAACATTTATTTTAGAATCAAACTGACATTGTTTTTTTGAATAAAAATAAAAAATGATATCTGTTTGATAAGGGAAATTTGTTATCACTTATCAGTAATGTGAAATTGGGAAAGAAAATGCAGCGTGATGAAGCTGTCAAATATTACATTATTTATGTTTTATATTGACGCAATATTGATGCAATATGCATTTAGTTTTATATTTTTAGTTAAATTTTAAATTATTAGTTTATATTTTTTTCATTTGCTTTTTTTTCTTTGTGCTTTTATTTCATTTGCTTTTTTTTCATTGCTTTTTTTTCCGTTGCTTTTTTCTCCTAGATTCGTATATTGTATAGAAAGTTATTGAACAACAGTAGTATTTACCACGAATAAATAGTTGCCGACGAGAAGCTGTCCAGTTGTCACTGTTGTCAGTCATAACTGAATAATAGCAAATACTTAGTTTACAACTTTAGCTTCTATAATATATTTAAAATATGTCAYAACTGTTCATRGTATACGTACAATTAATAAACTGAATAAAAATTTCAAAACCTACCTATAATACAAATAATCAATACTTAAAATACTTTTATATCCAATAATAATCTAAAAATGCATGTAGTTGTAATAGTGAGTATTATACATTTAATCGTTGATAGATATTGCACAAGTTTAAAAAAAAAAATATAATATGATGGCTGTGCGTTTAATATTGCTTGGGTACTAATWCCATAGACCTATTAATTAAGACAACTTAACATAACTAAGACTAAACATTTAGTTAATAGGCCTGTGACTAATACAATCKTCTTAAAATATTAGAAGTAAATAATAATATGTATGTTCTTATTTAAATTTAAATTGGTACTTACATTGCCTTCTAACCTCCAGCTTTTTTTCAATGCGCTTTGAAATCCAAATAAATAATTCACTGAATACAATACAGATTTTCGAATACTTAATCAATTACAATATAAATATTAAATAATAATATTGAAAATTGTATAGGTATTTTTTAGATTTATAGGAATTAATGAATAGTAATTATGAAGATTTGGCCGATTTGGGTATCATAATATAAAGATAATATTACGCGCCAAAATCAAAATTTTGATACAATACAATTGATAAGCTACAACGCTATGATAGCTAATCAACTAATCAGTACTTTTATTTTATAATAATTTATTAATTTATAATCATAATATAATATAGCTTATAGCTATAATAAATATAGGTCATAGATGTCAATTGAGTCAATTGACATTTTAACAATTATTAGAAAATATTGTAATTTGTTTTATATCGATTAATTTCTGTTTTATATTTTGGCATAGTATGAGTATAATATTGTAGGCTATAATTTATTTGATATTGAGTACAAAATAATAWTATGTAAATTAAATTTATGTACTAAATCATAACTACAAATTATAAATGTACATAGAATAAAATAATGTATTTTGTAATCAATCCTATAAATTCCTATATACACACACTCACACACATATATATATATATATATGTTTAGGATACATAACATAATATATTATATATATAACTTATACTAGTAGTAGTGGTAGTAGTTATTAATAGTAGTTCATGATACTTATTCACCATTCATGTAGATTCAGTATTTCGTGTGTGTCACAAATCACAATCCATGCCTGTACGGCACTCACTATTATGTTGAGTATTGCAATTTGTATTGATCAACAATT